TATTTAGACGATGAAATGTCATATGTATTGAATGTGAGAGTTTTGTGACACTAAGCTTCGTGATGTAATCTGTTTACTGATGATTCGAAGGTTAAATTAGGTGAATAACATGTTATTTTCTTGTGTGTACATACACACACACACTGGGGGCTTAGTTTGACGAATCTCTTATGGTTTGGAAAATTTCAGCATTGTGTTAGTGTACAAAGTGGGGTGCGAATGTATTATATTGTCTAGTCTTGGTGATGAAATCAGATTCATGGCATATGTCCCATCAGAGGATGTAGGAAAAATTTAGTTGAAGTTCATCATCTAGTGTTGTTAAACTCCTTAATTTGGATGTTATTGCGAAAGTGACGTTCAACTCCTTGTAACTCATGAGATCTAATTTTCCAAATCTATATGAACTTCCAAAAATTCATAAAATTAATGATCCACTACGCCGAATATTGTGAATGTTTCAGTCTCCCACACACAAAGTGGCGAAATGGTTAGCCGGAATACTATGCCCAGTTCGCAATGTTTTATGTAAGTATTCACTGTAAGATAGTTTTGAACTTGTTGATTGTCTTACTGATATGATTATCAGAAATAAGCAGATGTATTCGTTTGATGTCAACTCTTTGTTTACAGAGAAACCTCTAACGAAAACAGTTAATGTTCTTTTTTATTATATATCTTATAATTATCCTTCTTTACCTATTTCTCCAGTGCATTTGAAAGACTTACTTTTATTATGTACCGATAAGATCCATTTCACTTTCGAAGGTGAACACTTTCGGCAAATTGATAGTGTAGCTATGGGGAGCCCATTAGGACTGTTATTAGCTGATGTATACACGTCAAATATTGAACTAATGGCTCAGGATCTAATCAGTAATGTCACATTTTTTAGAAAGTATGTTGACATCATTGTAATGTGACACAGATGAGGATGTCGGGGGGTCGTTAAAAAGGCCTAATACCGTACAAGATCATTTCAGCCTGATATGTGGCCACCAACTTACATTTCTTGATATACTCTTGAGTTTGAGGGATAGTGGATGCACCATACGATTAGTCTATAGAAAGCCTACTTGGATAGGTCAATACTTCTGTTTCTACAGATTTTGTCCAATGAAATATAAGAGACGCTCAGTAAGATGCTTATTCAATAGGATCCAACGTATTTGTTCATCTGATACAACGGATTATGAGCGGAAAATTCTGGCAGACATACTTGTAGAAAGTGGATATCCATTACAGTTTGTGAACCGTTGTAGAAAACAGCTAACCCATAAGGTTATATATATATATATATATATATATATATATATATATATATATATATATATATATATATATATATATATATTGCTTAGAGTACCATGCAAAAGGGAAACGGGTGGTATGATATCAAAACAGAGATTAAAATCTGTTACCAGTAAAACATTCTGTGCAGCTCAACTTATCGTTGTTGAGACAACGAAACATCCGCTTAAGTGTAAAACTTGGGCATTGTGGTTAAACGTAATTCCATATTAGATTTGTTTATTTGATATATAGCTCACAGTGATGAAATCATGTTAGGAGTGCAGTTATGCTTGACCTCGACAGTATTCAAGTTTCAGGGAAAGATATAGAGACAAACAGAAGGAGTAGTAATGGGATCACCAATATCCCCTGCAGTAGCAGATATATGTATTTATGGTTGGGAAGATATGGCTTTACGAACATATAATCCGACACCTAAGATATATTGGCGATATGTGGATGACACATTTACAGTGTTGAAATCGGGACATATCGACAGTTTCTTGACACACATAAACTCAGTAGTTAACGCAATCTAATTCACTTACGAAGTAGAAAATGAAGAAGGAGAATTACCTATGTTGGATTTCACAATAAAATGAAGGACAGATGGTGGTTTAGATACTACCGTCTACAGGAAACCAACACATTCTAACAGGTATCTAGACTTCAAGCCACCTCATCCAGTGTCAGTTAAAGCGGGTTTAGTCAAATATCTAAATAACAGAGCTAAGAAACTCACTAGTCATTGTAAGGACTTAAATAAGGAATTGAAACACATAAAAGAAGCGTTAATAATTAATAATTATCCCCATAATTTTATTAAGAAATTCACACGGACACATACGAAGCAAAATAATAACAGTAATACAAATACAAATAATAGCGACAACATAAGTAGAAAGGAAGTCAACACCTCTATTGTGATACCATACAAGGAAGGAACATCAGAAACCATACGTAGGATTCTCAACAAGGTTGGAATTAGGGTGGCATTTAAACCAACAAACTCACTTAGAGGTAAGCTTTGTCGGCTAAAAGACCCGGTAGAACAAATTAGGCAAAATAATATAATCTACCAAATTCCATGTAATGACTGTGAGGTCAAATACATAGGTCAAACTAGCCGGTCGGGGTCAGTTTGATTAGCAGAACATAGGAATTTAGCTAAACATAGAACGACAGACCCCAATAAGATCAATGATCTGCACTCAGGACTAGACAACATGAAATTGGTTGCACTCCCGTGACCAATCAATACATGTAAGCCAGTCCTACAGGAGGTCAGTCGCGGCCCGAATAGCTCAGTGGTAAAGTCACTGACTACAACACTGGGTGACGCGGGTTCGAATCTCAGGCGGGACATCAGTTCCGTCGAGGTTGCAGACACGCCTTGCTGACGAGTGCCAAAAAGCACGAAACCTACGTCAAGCAGGGCTTCCTGCCGATCGCCTCCAACCAACTAAAATCTAGAAAAACACTCGGCCATTGCATTGCACTCATTAACACACAACCACACAATAGGGTGGGACAAAACCACTGTACTTTAATATAGCTAGGTGGAGAGAGAGAGATTAATTACTGAATCTTTGTTCATCGAATCCACACCCAACACATGTAATAGGAATGACGCAACACCTATACCAGAGATATGGAAAACTTGACTACCAATCAAAAAACAAGGAAAAATCAGGTGACAGAACTATAAAATCAGATATCGAAAGAAGTGTAATTACATTGATATGATTATGAGCAATAATTTGTGCTCGAAATGTAATCAAGTCAATAATACTGTATCACTGTGCACTTTATATCAAATAAACAAATCTAATATGGAAACATTAGCTTCGCTACAAACCTCAATCTCATATAAATGATTATGTCACATCTCTCAATTTGTTTACCAATTTGTACGTATGTGTGGGTACACACGCATAAGGAGGAGTAATCATGCTATGCAGACTGGGGTGGGTGAATATATACCTAAATGGCGTGAAAAACAGTTTAACACACAAACTTTGATTAGTCCAGATGACAGACATCCATCTTCATTTATGGCAAAACATACCAGCGAAATGAATCATAAGGTTAATACAAAAACAGCATTCAGGATATTAGATAGAAACAGTCAGGGGTGCATACTGAAATTTGCCAAAGCGTTAACGGTTCGTAAACGTGAGCCCCCAGTATGTGTGTATACAAAAAATAATAACATGTTTTTCACTTAATTTACTTTGTAATCTTTGGTAATCTAATTATATTACTAAGACTAGTGTCACAACCTTCGTATATTCAGTATATTTTACCTTTAATTTTCATATATAAATTTACTTGACAAGTAAATGTGTAGGGGATCAGATTGTTCAAAATGTATAGTGGAAATACGCATCACATTTTTCAGATAATCTTCATCTCCTAATAATGTTATCGAAATTTATTAAACGAACTTATTATTATGATTTTCCCTAGTGGAACATACGGCTTCAGTAGCATGCCTCCATTTCACTCTCTCTCTGAAGTCTTCTCAACCTGGCTTAACCACTGCCCACAAGCTTTCATTTCTTTCTCATATGATCTCCTCTATGTCATCTCACTTCGGACGTCCAACTTGTCGTTTCCCCTTCACATTCTACTCGAGCACCTGGCCTGGTACATGGTGTTTCCAGTCGGCCTTCTCAGTGTATGTCCAATCCAGTCCATCTCCACTTCTTCTGCATATTTGTTGGGCGATAGGTTATTAGTTGGTTCGTTCCCCGAGTTCCTTGTTGCTTATTCTTATTATTCTGGCCATCTGATCTTAAGTATCGAGTGAGCGTAGGCGGTAGCTGTTGATGAATATCTGTAGTTTGTTGGAAGTGCTTTTCTTAACGCACCAAGTTTCTGAACCATATAGCAGCACTGACTTGACGTTGGTTTTGAAAATCAGGATCTTGTTCACGCTTTGTGCTGAGTCCTGTAGATCTCCACACAGATTCCCGACTAATACAGAAAGGCGTGTCTTGCTTGCTGTTCCGATCCTGGTTTTGACATCCTCTTCTGTGCTGCCACCTGTATTTGAAATGATGCTGCCTAGGTAGGTGAAAAAGACGACTTCCTTTAGGTTTCTCCCGTTACTGGTGATTGGTGCTTGTTGCTGATGTTGCGGTTGGTTGGGTATCTTTATCACCTCCGTCTTCTCTCGTTTTCACTGTCTCTTCTGACAACTAAGTTTTCGCCTGTAGATCTTCGAGTTTGTGCGATATTAGACATAAATCATCATCGGCGACGAAATCCAAATCTTCTTCTGGGGTCTTTTCATCTGTCCAGCCAGCGTATGCCCATCTTCTTGCTCTTCACGGTTTGCTGCATGATCCAGCCCACTACAATCATTTAAAGGAAGTAAGCGTATCAAATTGACTATTTAAACATTTTTAGTTTTTGGATGTTTACACTGATGCTGAAAGTCATTTTTGTACCACAGAATAATATTGTGTAGGGAAAGTTTTGTTTTATTACCTTGATGAAAAAACTGTTTGTCTTCAATCTACATGCACATATTTAGTGAGGTAAATTCTAAAGATTATACTTACTTTCTGCTGTTTTTCTTAAACTTTTATATTTTACTGAAGTTGTTTCGTTTTACGCCTTTATCTAATCACTTGTGTAAGCTAAATTTTTTAGTGAAACTTGCTTGATGAGATATAACGAGAAAACGTTTGTCATTTTAGTTGAACAAAATTTTTGGATTGAAACACTGGTGTTTGCTGATCATACGGTGATGAGTCGTTTCTCTAACAAAACAATGGCAGAAAATTATGTGAAAACATTGATGAAAATGGTTAGTTATCTGATTATTGCAAATATGAAAATGGTTATCATGAGAGTAGAATGGTAGATTAGAATGCCATCTTACTTCTTTTAGTAATTATATTACATAGTGAGATGAAATTATTAAATTGGTCATGCCGACATTGTTCCAATCAATATTATGTTTTTCATTGCACGTATTTGCTGCTTATCAATGAACTCTTTTCCAAATTTCTAAGTTTTTAGTGGAAAGACTTCGGAACACTAAATTTATTAAAGAGGAGGGCTAGTTAGCTTTAGTATAATCAGCTTATGTGAGAAAATACCAATAAAGATTTCTATGAAAGCACTGAACACAAGATCAGAAAAAGGAGGAAGATCTAAAAGAAGGAACACAGTTATTTGTAGAAGATATACTGAAAGGACTAGAATACTATTTAACAACAACTTACTTCACACTTAAAGGAAAGTTATATCAATTAAATGAAGGAATAGTTATGGAGTTACCCATTTCACCAATAATAACCGATATATTCATGGATTTTTGGGAAGAAAACGCCCTAAAATCATTCACGACCTCAATCAAAAGTTGATTGATATATGTTGACGACACAATGGTCATAATAAAGAGGAAATATATTGACAGTTTCAATGGCCATATAAACAGTAAAGTGGATTCAATTAAACTCACTATGGAAACAGAGAATGAACTGGAAGAACTACCATTCCTAGACTGTAAAATACAAAGAATGACAGATGATAGTTTAATGATGACGATCTATAGAAAACCTATGCTTTCAGGCAGATTTCAGAATTACTACTCAGCACATGCACTCAGTGTAAAAAGAGGATTAATACAGAGTCTAGCAAATACAATACGCAGGTTGACACCATATCCTAATAATCAGAGAAAAGAGATAAATATTTTATTCAAAATGTTATTGAAAAATCACTATCCTGAACAATTCATACGAGAAAATATCATGAAAAAGAAAAAGAAGATATGGGAAGTAAAAATGGAAAGCGATAACAAAGAGGAATGTCAAAAGGCTGTAGTACTACCATATAAGAAAGGTACATCTGAGTTAATGCAAAGAAATCTTAGAACGACAAGTATTCAGACCACATTTAAACTCATGAACGATATCAACAATAAAATTCAACCAACTGAAAGTTCCAGTAAAAAAAATTAGACAGAATCAATATCCTGTACAAAATATCCTGACTGCCCAGTTAACTATGCAGAGCAAACGTCGAGATTACTTAAAGTCAGACTGAATGAACATAGACGATTGATTAAAGGTTAACCCGCAGGGACATTAGAATATAAAAATTTGGAAAAGAGTTCATTGATAAACAGCACATGCGTGCAATGAGAAACATAATATTGAGTGGAACAATGTTGGCATCTTAAAGTCTAACATGAATAAATGGAAAGAAAGATTGTCGTTATAATCATTGTAATTTTCCCGTTGCTATTCCGAGCCAAATTACTCAACCCCTGCTGTTGGCGGATGGGCTCCTGTGTGGATGCCTTGACAATGTCAGATACTTATGATGTTATATTTATGTTGGTGACAGGGAGAGAAATTCAGGAAGCATGTTTCGTCCTATCTGTGACTCGTCAGCTGCCAAGCCTCTTGCAAAGAAAGATTGTTAACTGAATAATCCATGTTCATACAAGTCATATCAAATACATGCAACAGAGGTGATCAAACACAACTGTCAATAACATGGAATATAGTCGTGAAGAAAAATAATGACAAACCTTCAAAACAACAACATTAAATATTTGAATTCTATGCTTGAATATGTGAACAAATAATTCCAACAATTGGTGTGATCATGGGGAGTAATTATGGTTGAAATATTACCAAAATTAAATAACAACATTGTGTGTCAACATTCATTACAAAAATACTTATGGGGATTTTAATTTTGAGGTAGTATTCATCACGAACTGACATCAGTTGGAGGACCATTGGAAACTTGTGAGCACTCGACAGCTGTTTCATCCTAGTATAGATCTACTCAGCAAGACGCTGAGAACATGCTTCTGGATGGATATCACGAACTTCTAATGACAAACCGTGGCCTGTGGGGTCAACCAGTCGGAAGGGAAGCGAATACCATCTGAAGACCTAGGGTGATATATATATATATATATATATATATATATATATATATATAAACTTGACGAAAGTATTCCACTTTTCCAATTTTTCTGAAACATCATTCTGATCAAATGGATTTATCTCGTACAAGTTACTTCATAATAACCATCTATTTAACCACCAAATAGGTTTCTTATAAAGGTTACTATTCGAAATGCTTAAAATGTTATGGTCCCATATGCATGAACTTGTTGAATGAGATATACCACTCTCAGTTCATAGTCTTTTAAGGGACTGGATGTGTTGCTATTACGTAACGCTTAATCAACCTTACTTAACTCAATATGCTGTAATGCCTGCTTAACCAATACTTTACATAACGTTTAAGTACTGATAACGAAACACAAATAAAGTGAAATGTATCTAAATCGAATAAATATGAGCGATTATTGAATAGAACGTTTATCTAACTTATCTCGCTAATATGATTGAGCTAGGCACTCTGAAGATATGCATGTTCACCAACACAAAGGGAGCACAAAATGGTGTCGAAGCTCACTTGGATACGTACTCGTTAAAACAAAACTTAAAACATCTTAAGTATCCGGAGGCAAGCTAGAAGTTCATTTAGTTAATTCAACTTCATTTATTTATTTTGGCCCTAGTCGCATTTCGGCGCCAGGCAGGTGTACTACAGTACACCTTAGTAACTTTACCTAACGCTTAATATACTTTACCACATTAATACGGGTTCTTGTTAACTGAACGCATTTCATTGCCGTCTAGGAAGTGAATTCATTCTTATCACCAATACTAAAGTCTTATATGGTTGGAAGCAGTCAAACAAAAACCAAGAGAATGAAGCATAACGGCGTAAATCAGTTCATCTTCATGTGTAGTTCAGAGCTCCTTTTTTAAATCTTTGTGACAAGAGCCATTTGATTTCCCTAACTATAACCTGTTAGATTTGAATACTAATACATGAGAGGATGGGATTCCCTTACTAATCTATAAGTATACTAGCTTGGAACAAGTAAGCAATTTCGTCGAATATCAAATTTTATTCTCTGGAAGATTTTGCAATTTTTTTGTCATATGATCTAGCTCATATAGTGAGTCGGTGAATGTCAGTTTGAGCTGAAGTATAAATTCTTACGGACATTCAACCGAAAACTGTACTCATCCTATAGGGAAAGGTAAAAATGACGGATACATGTCACAGAAAATATATAAACACCTGGTACTGATGAGTCTCTCAAGAAGATGAAACACCTTGCACTTATTTTAACTTTTTCACGTATTTTTTATTCGTTAACATGGAACTGCTTTCGAAATTTTTATTTTTTAGACTGATGAGCTATTTCATCATCCGTCATTGGGTGTTAATATGAGTTTGGTAATACAAGATATAATATGGGTCAGTGAAGCTGAGGTAAGCTAATTAAAAAAATAATCAGACTGTTTATTCGTTTTCTTCTCTGACATTTGATGTTTTTTGATGTTACATAAAAATATTTTCATTAATCATATTAGAAAATTGAATAACTTGTATAATATGTCGAAAATTCTACACAATCAACAGCTGTATTGTCCATTCCTGTACTCAATGACTGAAGTGATTCTTAAAAGGAATTCACTACTATGGCAATAGTTTTCAAACTCGAGTACCGATAGAAAAACCGAAGTCAACCAGACAACAGTTTTGTCTGAATTCGAGGTTCATTCTTACACGATAAAGCTAACAATGCTTATCGACCGATCAGCCTTTATGAAGCTAAATCTCATGGGTTTCACCTCGGGGTTCAGCGAACTTTGCTGTACAGGATTTTACAGTCGGGTTGAAAGAGCTGTCTACCTAACATTCTTGATTCTGACTGTTCTACAAATTATTTAGATACGTGGTAACAATACTTTCTAACTTGACCATTAATTGCTTAGTCGAATTAAACAATCTTAACGAACCACTTAATCTGATGATCTAACTTCGTAGCAAACTCAGATTACCAGCAGGTTAAATTATGAAGAATTAGTAGAAGTAATACCGAAGACGTTAGGTTTCTGACGGTTGCATAATAACGGTGTCACATATATTTTCGAAAACATTTCTCTCAGGTGACCAGAGACAACCAAAAAGAAGCCATGACTGAATTACGTTTATATTGAGTAAAGTGACAGATAATTGCACCCATTTTCTATCTCTTCCACTTGAACAAATACCACCACTCCTCCACCGATTGTATATTTTACATATTGACTGAGCAACTTTTTAGTGAAATTATCTGTCACTTTACTCAGTATAAATACGACTGTACAACTTGATAATGAAGTCGTTGAAAAGAAATATTTCTTAGCTGATATATGCCTTGTTCTTGTTAATGAATAAATGGGTATATTTCGTCAGTTGAATTAAGTTTCACATTTGTGAAACCTTATCAATAGTATTTCCTGCTAACTTCAAGGGTGTATCACTTCTCTAGAGGTTTGAGGCACGTTTCATTGACAAGTGCTGGCAAATGCAAGGTCCAAATCAGGAAAAGATTATCACCGAATGTCTACAACTACTGACCATTAATTAAAGTTAATAGTGATAGTCAGTTTCCTAGCTTGATGATTTAGTTAGAAACTTTACTGCCGTAATCCAGTCCATGCGTAGGACCAGACAGCATAACGTTAATTCTTCCACAGTATCATACAACGACAAGCCTTGCAAAGTACTTGTAGACAATATGTTTGATAAAGTATTCTTATATGAAAGATTAGATATTTTATCACGTTGTCGTCGATGGTCATCAGTATCAGGAATAACGGACAGAATACAAAACAGAGAACTGGATCACATTATGCGACCATACACAAAGGGAAACAGGAAAAAATTCCCTTTGGCCAAAGTTTTATTCATAAATATTCATTTTTCGATAAATTAAACAGTCAGTACTAACCATAGATAACTGTTATGTATCAAGTAAGCATGGTTTTCAAAGAAGCGATCCTCTTCCATACTCTGTCCATGAGAAATTCGACTTTTTGGTTTCATAACGTATATATGATTTCTAATAAAGCAGAAAACTGTTTACAGAGATGATGGAAGATGTTCCTAATCACTTCCAAGTCCGATTCAGTAACCTCTTGAAAATGACTTATTTCAGGCTTTACTTGAGAATCTTCAACATTCAGCTACTAGGTAAATATCTGTTTAACAACAGACATTAGTTATACTGATTCGTTGAATAAAAAGTAACTTTTCGCTTTGTTTTTATTGAGTATAGATAGGGGGGAAAGGAAGACCTATCACCTCTTGAAAAGAAGCTGATTCTTGGTCAATATTTGTCTCATTTCTTGTAAGATAGTAAAAAATGCACTCTGTGATATCATTCAAAAGCACAGTACTTTCTGACTTCTTTTACCAACCATCAACAAATGTAAATAGTTCAAAGAGGGAAGTGGTGGAACCAGGTTATCAGCACTCTGACTGCTGATAACTGGGCCATCAGAGTGATCATATGAAGTGACTACTAAGAGGTAGAGTTTGTGTTTGGATTTTAAAAAATTGAAAAATGTTTGGTTGAAAAACGGTCAGATTTATGGAATTTGAAGGCCAACTTTTCAACAGACGAAGTAAATGTCCAAACATTGACCAATAATGTATTTTTGAGATCAGTGGGGATCTTAATCTAGAGATAATATTCATCATGGACTGACATCATTTGGAGAACCACCGAAAACCTGAGAGCACTGGACAGCTGTCTTGTCCTAGTATGGGACTCCTCAGCAGTACCTGTCCTTGACCCGGCCAGGGGTCTAACTCAAGGCATCCATTCAGCTTACTGGGTTGGCTTTCAGTGGCTCATAGTTTCCAACTTCTGTCAGTTTACGATATAGAGAGACTGTCACTCAAGGTCTTCAGTTAGCTTTCACTTCCCTTCTGACTGGTTGACCCCCCAAGGCCCCGGCTTGTTATTAGAACTTCGGAAAATCCACCTGGAAGCATCTCACTAATGAGCACTATACCACCCCAGCGGCTGGATGATTAACGCGTTCACCGTGAAATCTGAGGGTCCTGAGTTCGATCCTTAGCCTATAAGTCAATCTTTTCTGTATCATCCAACTATACTAATTGGAGACACAGATGTTTGTAGGGGGGGGGGGGCTGTTCACTTTGATATATCCTTCAAATGTCAGTTCTATAAACGTCTGACTCCAGTTTTACATGTCATATGCTAAATTTTGTAGTTTCTTTAAACACATTTTTATAAATGTTTCTATAAATTACTTTGTTTTTGAAAAAAAATGTTTAGTCAAATGAACTGTTATGGGGTGTATCATTAATTCGCTCTGTTCATCGATTTTGTAATTGGCTTTAACTCATCATTATGTACGTTACAATTATGATCATGCACTATTTCTATCCAGAAATATTGTACAAGCAGCTGGTAAGTGAATATTTGAATTTGAATATGCATATATTGAAAAATGAATAATAACTCCCTGTAAATTATAATAGGGAGACAAACATTGAACTTGGGATAGATATGCATGCATAGGCTGAAGATGTCATACTTCACAGCAGTATACAAATGAAAGGTGGGTGGAAAACGAATGACATGAAAGCAGACAAAATGTGTAAAAGAGGAGAGAAGATAAACAGATGAAGAATAATGAAGGTGTTCAAGTCTTTGAAGCTGATAAATAGCGTATACATCTACACCGTTGTGACCACTTTTAAACTAGATCGCCAAGAGTTGTCAATTATTCACTCTTAGCATAACAACGGCCTACACGTCTCTACATGACTGCGGTCACCAGTCAGAGCCTTTATGGACTAGTGTCATGTCTTGGTTTGGCTATCATTACCTTCTTTAAAACCGATCCTAATTTGGCTAGGTGATGGCTTGGGGTATACAAGAGAAGTCTACATGAAATCAGTTGGTGAAGTTTCTCAACCCTATCAACCCACTTGCCTTCTTTGCCTATTGTTTTGCTTCCAACATCTGGACTGCTTAGGATTGATATAAGTCTGTAGTTATTCTGTAAACAGAGTAATTGGCTGATTGTAACTGAGGATTAGTGTTTTCGAATGAAAGAATGGAATGAGATCAACATGTGTTGAGAGACGCGAAAGGGTGCATTACGTCTTTCGTTGCTTGTTTGTACTTTCCATAAATCTGTGTTTTCACAATGGTATAGTCATAGACTGTTTTACGCTACGTGAGTGATATGCTACATGGATGAGATTAATTGTTTAGATCGACTTTTGAACAGTATTATTGTAATAATATGAAGTTTACTTCCAAATCAGCTCTGTACAATAAAGAATAAGTGTTGAATACAGTCACGTAAACTGGTTAAAAATAATGTTAATCATCAGCCCAAAGACGCTGAAAACTCACGTTTCTTCTTATCTATAGTACCACTTTAAAAAGTTCATAGATATGCAGACATCAGGATACACAAAATGTTTGTGTAGAAGTGAAAGTTTGAAGATACAGTTTACTGCAACAAAATCTGTGATTTCAAACAACTTTTTGTCAACACCAGCCAATAATGTTGCTGACCAGTTATCTTATTGATACTGGCTGATCATTGAATGTGAGGTGGAAATTTGAACCGCAGTGGGACTCGAACCAATGACCATCAGGTTCATTATCTGATTAACACGATTTGTGAATTCTATTTAATAAACCGTAACAGTTCATTAGCAGATAGAGAAATTGACTGATAGGCTTTCATTAACATCACAACCTGTAACTGCAACTGTTACCACCTGGTGCCTGCACCGTGTACATAATACAGTCATACAGGGAAACAGTTGAGAAGTTAACAACTCTGCAGTAAAGTCGGTGACTGAAGGAATTAGTGGTATACATTCAAATCTTTCAGGAAAAATGAATCTACTCTAAGCTGCAGAGTTGTCTTGCTGATCAGTGCCAATTAGTGTACAGCACAGGTCAAATAGGATTAAAAAAGGTTATTTAAATGAATATAAAGTTTCGTATTCCTCCTCTCTATTGATGTAATTGCTCGCCGCAAATTGCCGTCTCTATTAAGAAAAGTTTTGACACCAATCTAAGCATTCTAGAGGCCAGTTTATTAAGTTGATGGTTACAGTAAACGCACAAATGAGGTTCCAAATATTGAATAAAACAACCAAGACCACTACTAAACACCGGAATATTCACACAATAATGAATTCTACCAGTGGACACGGTGGACTCCACGAAACGTATCGCCAGATGGCATTTACTATATGAATAATCATAGTCCTTGAATTTTACTTGTCTAAATCACTAAAGTTGCTGTTAAATGATGATTAAAATCTTCGATACTAAAGACGAGCCTCTATACAAATATACTAATTAATATGGCACTTGAGGCAGTCAGAAATGAACTCACAACTGACCAGGAACTCGATAATAGACCTGACGTTTCGATTGAAAAAATTATGCCAGGGATAAGGCTATGTATAACTTCCACAGTTTTCGAATTTCAAGACAAAATATATAAACAAACAGAAGCAGTAGCGATGGCATCTCCAATATCTTCAATCTCAGTAGACATATTCATGGACAGTTGGAAATAGTTAACATTAGGAGCATTCCAACTAACCCCAGAAATGTGATGGCGATAGGTACATGACACATTTACTGAAATCAGAACACATCCAGAATATTTTACAGACATTAACTCTGCAGAATATGCAGTCCAGTTCACTTATGAATTAGAAAATGAAGAAGGAGAATTACTCACACTGAATTACAAAATCAAGAGGTGAGAAGATGGAAGCTTAGATACCAGTGTTTATAGGGAAACTAACACATTCAAATAGATACTTGGGTTTTACATCATCTCACCCTATATCTTTCAAAGTTTCAATAATCGGGCTAGGAGTTTGACTAGTAAGTTGGAAAGCCTAAATACGGAAATGAAATACATCACAGAAACACTAATCCCTAACAACTATCTTCCGGAATTTATTAAAAGGTTTACAAGGGCTGATAAGAGAAAGAGTGGTGGTGTTAGTAGTGATTGCAACATGCCTAAGAGGGGATTCGAGTCCTCTGTAGTGTTGTCATGTAAAGAATGTATATCGGAAATTTCACGTAGAATTCATAAGAATGCTAGGATTAGGATGGCATTTAAGCCCACAAACTCGCTCAGAGAGAAACTTTTCAGGTTAAAAGATCAAATAGAGCCGATTAAGAAAAATAACCTGACCTTTCAGATACTATTTACAGATTGTGAGGTCAAATATATAGGTCAAAGCAGTCAAACTGGGTCGGTCAGAATAGCAGAACACAAAAATTTAGTGGAACAAACAATGGTAGATCCTACAAAGATGAGTAATTTAGAGAGAAACTCGTTTATCGCTCTGCTTGCATTGACTCATAATCACACTCTAGGGTGGGTGACAGTTTTGTAATCTAATGTAGCTAGGTGGAGGGAGAGATTGATCACAGAATTTTTATTCGTTTAATCCACACTTTGCATATGTAACGGAAATGACTCATCACATATTGTAGATATTTGGTAAATTTTACTACAATCAAAGTCGTATGATTACTTTGATGTGAATATGAGTAATAAATTCTGCTGGAAACATCATCCAGTAGACTAGACTGCATCACTGTATTACACCGAATAGACAATCTGATATGGAATTATTCGCTACAACAGTGCTCAAGTTTTTCCCTTACATTAATCTTCCATACGGCTACTGTTACTTGCTTGCGTAATTTTTAACTACTCACTGTGTTTCTTGAAATTCAAACCGGTGGAAAAAGATTCGTTTTGAAAGTTATTTTTTCAGTTTCCAAACTAAATGGCAACTGAAGAGTTTCACTAGCCGAGATGTGAACATCTCTCATGACTGAAGTATTATCAGGCAATGAAACTTTGGTTGGTGAGTAGACTTTTACGGTTGCTGGGCATCTACTACCCATGGTAAACGTGCAAACCTATAATTTTTTGGCTAAAAATACGATGTGATGCAATCACAAATTTCTGAATGAACCGCTTTGTTCTCCTCAGGGAATGAACTCAAGCCATTAAAAAAAGAGACGTTCTATCAATAATAAGTACACTATAATCGTAATTTCATATTCTCTGAGCTTTGGAATTGAATTATTGGAATTTTAATTTCACTAAGCTTATAGACATCATCAACATTTACTTCATGAATCTGTTATCGTTATACTCAGCTATAAATCTTCCCTATCATCTCAAGGTATACCGAAAGAAAATTTGACCATACTTAAATCGACTGTTTGTTGAGAAAGAAGTATAACTTGATTAGAGTTTAGATTGTGAAGCTCAGTAACCAGAAGAAGAAGGGAGTCTGTAGTTAGAATTTTGTGATCTAAGCTTTTCTGTGTACATACGCATCCTTTCTATACATTAAAGTTAGTTTGTCAATCAGTTAGTCTAATAAACCACCAAACCAGTCATTCCCTCTTTTCTAATTTACTTTTGTATGAATTAAGGCAAAAAAACTCAACCAGGCAGCTGAAATAATAAAAGTCAGACTTTCACGTATTACCCATTCACAGGGTAAAAGGGTAGACATTTCGGCGAATGAAGTGACAAAGAAGCCAGTTTAGGGGGTAGTTCTCACAGTTCGTACATCCGAACACTGGAATGTTGGTTGACCTCAAGGTCACTGATTCGAATCTCGTCCTTGTCGAAATATATTGAAATTAGAAACACCTACTGTATCTATGTGACCATTGAGTATGCAGAAGAACTTATCAGTATACCTGAAGAACAAAATACTAGTAGTCTTTATAAAGGAGCGCTGATATTTCATGGCCTATTGATTTTGAATGGGCTAGTAATTTTCTTTTCCATTCCATACCCTATCAACATTACGATAGTGGATAACAGCGGGCAATTTACTCATAGACTGTAGTAGTTTAAAGCATTATACTTAACTACTGTTTGTGTTGACAGTTTTCACTTGACTTGGTAGAGTAGCCGTGCAGACTTAATTGTGAAACGAAATGATCTGAATAATCACTTTAAATTTATATTAACTGCGCAAATGACTTCACCCCTAAGCTAAGCTCATCATCGAAATGTACCTTCCACCTCGAAGTTGACTGAATTCAGAAGTCTCAAATGCTTTGACGAACACTCTACCATTGAATCGACTACTTGACTTCTAGCGCTGCCATCCCCTAGCTTTTTATTGATGAATATCTGCTTTCATTTTCAACTGCTTTATGGAATATTCTCTTTATATGGTTGTTTCCTCACTTGTAACAGTATCATTAGAATTTCGCAGCTATATTGTATGGTGTTTGGGTTAAAAGCCTACATATGAATGCTTGAACAGTAAATTTTATATCCAAATCTTGATGGTGAATCGATTCCTTAAGAAATCCCAAAAGACGTGGTAAAATATGAAGACGTTTGTTGCTAGGCTAACTACCTGAGAAGATAAGACGGTATCTGTTCATTCACTGGAGCTTCGGTTACTTCTAGAACCTTATAGGTGATTTTCTATTGGTTTCGCAGTAATTGGCAATCTGAATTTTACACTTCGCATTATGTAACTTTCTCCAAAACCTCAGTGTGATGATCGATTTGAATAACTTCTGGTGATTTCAGGCTTCGTTAAAGGAGTTTAGCAGGGAAGGATATCAGGAACTCCAATAGTTTTTAGTGTAATTTATTAGCACGGTTATTTATTGCCCCGTTTTTTCCCTCTCTAGGTATATCTCCACTCAGTCAGATGTGTCGAATGCAGTATTCGTGTACATTAGCAGAGGATAGTGGATTTTTCTCGGCTTATCCAATTGCACATGAAATTATGCACAGGTAATTAAACTATGCAAGCCCATACATAACTGAAGGACTATTTGTTTATCTTCGCTGGCTGGTCAGAGTTTTGTTCTGACTTGCAAAATTATATTCCTAAAATTTTCATAAATTCTTGTCACATTGTGAGCATGGTGTATGAGCAACATACTTTTTGTGGTTATCTCCAAGTTATTGCTGTAAGTGAGAACAATATTCTAACTTTGAATTTCCAAGCTTTGGAGAGTAATATCTTTCAAGGAAGTTTTAATTACGGATCGACAACAACTGAGGAACCACCGAAAGCTTAAGAAGGGATTAAACAACAGTTTCGTCCTAATTTAGGATTCGTCAGTAGTGTACACTTACTATCTAATGCACTAACAATATCTTGAAACCAATCAATCCGTCACAAGCTATGCAGTACTTGATAGTGACTCACCTAAGAATGAAGTTCTGGATGATTTAGTGGGAAACAAGTTGGATTTGGAGACAGCGATAGACTGTGTCATGGTCGTCTTATATCACGAAATGATGGAAGTAAAAAAATCTAGACCTCTGAGACCAACCTGACGACTGAATGGTAACGTGCCCTCTGCAACAGCTGATGGTCATGGATTCGACCCTTAACTGAGTTGTAAGAGTTTCAGATTAGCATGCAACAGTTGTTCAATGCCCAGAATAGTTCAATTTCAACGGTTCCCAAGCAGATATCCATGGGTGATAAAAACTACCTAGAAATCCACTAATTCACCACAAACCAATCAAATGATTACTACCTTGGTCTCATATTCAAGTAGGATTCTAAAAGAATCTGAAACGTTTAGTACTTAAACTCTGGATAGTATATCTGACAATTGTCTCTTCATTAGAAACTCATGCATTTTAACAGTGAATGATGAACTATCCAGTGACCATAAAGGGCATCCTGGCAACAACTAATTACTATTCTTGATTTTGGTCTGAAAGATAGATTTTTCATAAAACAAGGAAAACTAATTGGTTATTCACTAGGTGATATAGTTAGAATGGTTCTTGATAACTGCTGAAATAATGAGTGACTTTAAAGATCACTATAAGAGCTACTGAAGTAACTAAATAGAGCTCTGTATTTTGTTAGTTGGCCCTTGAGTCACCAAGTAATTCTAAAGGCCATCATAACAACACAACTTAAATAACCGATTACACTTCTTTATTTTATGAAAATCTGCTCATAGAACACCAAACCATCATCGTCTTCATCCTGAGCTACAAATCTTTTCCATCATTTCGAATTTGGAAATAGACCACTGAATAAGGAACAAATAGATTTCAAGTGATGAAATAAAAGTCAAATACTCTCAAAGAAATGTAAAGAAATGACAATGATGATAATTGAACTGAAGTATACAAAGTGAAGTGAAATGAAATTGATAAAGTGACCAAACTGAATTGTTGAAGCGAAGTTTAGAGAAATGGATTTCACAAAACTCATCAGAATGCGTGGTTTAGGCTTTTTCTCACATAGAGCTAGTGCTTTAGCTATGAATAAGTGATGAAAACGTAGGTCTTTGGAATAATTCGATTTAACTTCGTAAATTAACTTGAAAGATGAATCTCGAGGAGCTGAATGGCTTAACTCCATTAGGTGTTCACATATGGATGAAACTGTTTTTCTTCGCTCACCTTTGGTTAATCAAACTGGTTAGTAAGATTATAAACATCCAGACTATAGTTATTGAGAATGTCCTGGAAGAAGTTGACCACCGACTCTGATTGAATCATTATAAGAGTGTTAGCTAATGTAATTCCAGTATGCTTAGAAAATCAAAACAAGATATTTCTGAATGCCTCGCTGTGTAAACTACAGTTTCTTAAGCAGGATATATATGAACTTCTATTAACATCAGAATATACAGTCAAATGATCCACCAAATATTTAGTGAATGTAACTCATTGGTCAGGTGGTTCTCTCAGTCTGAATAATTCAGATTAGTTGATGACGAAAATGTAAGATAGTCAAAGTGTGTGCACTTGTATGTTTATGGATGTTGTAAAATACGTGTTGTTTCTTGTACTTCTATTTATGAACCGTCAATAATTGTGATTGTTATTGAAGCTTCAATTAGAAAAGGTCATCATTATTGGTTTCGTCAGATTAATGCTTGTGACAAGTCTATTCCTTCTTTTCTGTTTATAATATTTAATATTGTTAAAATATGCAGGACATCAGAAGGTAATCTTGCTTTATACGAATGGAAACCTTTTCCCCATATATGTTTTACATTCTCGAAGTTAATCATTTGTCTAATTTCGATTGGATGCATAGCTATTGCTGATCACTTTTCAAAATTTCTTAATTCATCTTGATTCCTCAGTGGATGTTTCGTACATAACTTGTACTCATTCAGCCTAAATTTTAAGCTTCTACTAATTTCTCCAACATAATTAGCTTCATACTCTAAACATTTAATTTTACTGTTTGTATCAAATTAGGAACTGTATCTTTCACTTTGACTGAGATATTTTCTAATGAATTTGAAGGTCACGCGAAGCACATACTTTATTATTCTGTTCAGAATTACCTTTCCGATATGGCATAGTCATAGATGACGCCCATGATCATGATGTACCTTTATTGCTATTAGTAGTAGTACTAACTGTTTTGTTCATTTGATTAATAATGTTATTTAAAAACTTTTACGGTACCCATTTTCCACCAAAAAATACTTTGTTCTAGAGATTTCATTTTCCAAACCACTAAGATAGGTTGTGATGTTTTTCGCTCTGTTTAGTAGGTTCAGTTGAGACAGTAGCTTTTAAGTCTAAATGTTTATCGGAATATGTTAGTATTCTGTATATTTTTATACTAAATTTACCTTCAGTTGTTCTTTGGATAAGACAATCTAAAGAGTTTACTCCGATCCTCAGATTCGATGTATAACTGAAGGATTAGCTTTATGTGAGAAAAAGTCTAAACCACGCTTTCTGATGAGTTTTGTGAAATCCCTTTCTCTAAACTTCGCTTCAACAATTCAGTTTGGTCACTTTATCAATTTCATTTCACTTCAGTTTAATTATCATCATTGTCATTTCTTTACATTTCTTTGAGAGTATTTGACTTTTATTTCATTACTTGAAATCTATTTGTTCCTTATTCACTGGCCTATTTCCTTTGGAAAGATCATTGTGAAGAAGTTAAAAATAAACACTAGACTACATTTCAAAGAAACTCTTATATCAAACAAAATATCTTTTTTACCTTATATTTTTCAGTCTTGGCGTTGAACATGATGGTGAAGGGAATAGTTGTGATCGTTCTGGTTTTACTGGAAATATTATGGCACCATTAATTCTGTCTGCAGGTCATAACCATCACTGGAGTGATTGTACAAGACTGGTACTTCATAATGGTCTAGAGTAAGTTGTTCCAACATAAATAAATATCGATTATTCAGTTATTAGCTTTCAACCGAATATTTAATCATCTGAATTCAGAGACGGTAATCACAATTCTTGCATAGGTGATGATGGTGTCTGTAGTGACTGTGAAATGCTTACAGACTTGAAAAATAAGGTGATATTGCAAACCTATTTGAATAAAGATGATTTAGCTTATCCCTTTGAGAGAGTTGATCAGTACCAATACGAGTTTCAAAGTGTTTTGTTACTGTTTAATAAATACCTTGGAGTTACATAAGACTTTACAGTTGTTTTTTTCATTCGAGACCTCACAAATACCTACAACTCCAAGGGTCTACTAAATATTCGGGTTGTGTGATGGTTCTTTTCACTTCAGTTACTATTTCATCATTTTAGTATGCATAATGGGACACTGGATGGTTGGAGGCAATCCGCAAGAAGCACTGTATGATGTATACTTTATGTTTCTTGATGCTTTTCAGCAAAGAGTATCTATAGTATCATATTCAGTTAACAACTGAAAAAACCTACATCATCCGGTGCAACACTTACATAACTTTCTAGTGAACTAATTCAGATATACTATAACTAATAAACTAACTTCATTCACAGTTTTTACCTTCACAAATGGCTTATTTTGTCTTACAAGTCAAAGATGTTGTTTGCAAAGTATGTAATATTGACTTTGTGAATTGAGTCACTAAATTTAGTGACGGCTTGATTGGATTTGGTATTTATCAGTTCCAAAATAATTCACATAGTAGCAGTTCACGTCGGTATTTCTACAACACTTTAGATATCGTCTGTAGTTAAAAGGTGAATAAGTTAGATTTATGCTGAACGTAGTCCTAACATAACATTATTCCATATCCTTCCATGCGAGATACCTAAGCTTAGTTGTCAGCCATTCAACTATTCTGTATTCATCAATGAGAAATTATACTTCATACAAGGGTGATGAAAGTGGTGGTGAGTGGCTCAACAGCCAGGATAAATGATTCACGTGAACCCCAGAAGTATAATACAAAAATGCGGAGGTTTATAAATCCTTGGTTTCTCTGGGCTTCAGGGTTTGTTCTTTCCATGTTTCATAACCAGGCTTGGAGATTTTAGAAGCATATACTTCATAAAAAAGGGAAATATTTTCAAGTTGCATAAATGTTCATGAAGGATATTTGCATACCTTGAGAGTTATCGGCCAGTGGCTTAGGCTGGATTTCAAGTTGGTATTCATCATAGACTGACCTCAGTTAGAGGAACATTAGAAACCTGGGAGAACTGGACAGCTGTCTCGCCCTAGTATAGGACTCTTCGGGGAGCTCGCATGCCCCTACCAGGGGTCGAAACCAAGACCACCAGATTCCGAGGCCAGAACGTCAACACTCAGACATTGGGTTGGAATCCAATGGTTCAGTGGTTGTGCTATGTCGTGAACTGACAGAAGTTGGGAATAGGGTGAATTCGCCTCTTTTTTTATCAGAGATTGTAACTTTTATGATAATTTGACCCGAGCTGTTGACCTAGTGTCTGGTTGTAGATTTACTTGACTGGTCACGGTCGATTACAATCACAAACCAAACAGATCTAGTGACATGCAGTCCAGTGCCAGAGTATGGCTGCTTTCCCCTATACATTTGTGTAATAAACAACATAATTTAATCTGAAGACAGTTTTGAGCAATTTGGTAAGTTTTGAAAGTGCCCTGCATACCGAAAAAAGCCGAATAGGTTATATTCCTAGCCTCTAATTTCCTCAGAGGTGGGTACACATCGGTGTCTGGACACCTAAAAGTGCTAAATGTTTTGAATTCTGACTCACTGATCCGATGAGGAAGATAATTACCATTTATGAGGGAGACTTGAATGAACTAAATTTTAGACTTGCTCTAAAGGCTACCCTCACAACTGCCGAAATGGTCAGTTTGATTTCGCTATTCTAATAAAAAATTATCTTGCTAGCCAAAATAGAGAAAGCTAAATGGTTAACTATACAAACACTAAAGTGGTCTTTAGAGTCACTCAATTTTTATCGTTGAACAGGCTTAAAAGTATGCATTACTAGAGTAACTCTGAAGGCTATATTAGCAACAGCTGAGATAGCCTATCAGGTTTCGGTATTTTGACTGGGAAAGCAGTTTTCCCATAAAATGCTGAACCCTAATTGATTATCTCAGTAGTTACTTGGGTTACCTTTTCAGCCACCCTACTACTGAGGCATCTTTAAATAGGTTTTAAAAAATATACAATGATGCGTTGTCGTGAATGATCATTTACTTGACATCAGTCGATCGTACAAACAATAGCTTTCAGTGATATCTGAAACCTTATTCTTAACTAGTAGGATGGTGTTCTGTGCTTGAATTAGACATGACAGATTAACCCTAGTATATATGTTAGCGTTTAAGAAAGTCTTTCCAATTGTGGAGAGCTTACAACTTCAGCTTACGCAACATGTCAAGCAAAACCTCTCAAAAAATTACTACAAGTTTGGATGACAAGATTATCGCTGATTTGCATCCGTCTTACTCGTCAGTTGCCAAAGCATCGATGTGATCAATTTGCCTGTACAGTATCGACGGTAAATCCACAGAAATATGATGCCTGCAGAAATGACCATATTCTCTTCAAAGTAACATTGTTGAGGATTCTGAAGTGTGCTTCATCAAATCTGTAGCCACGTTAACCTAAATATAGCGTGACACAGTGATTTTATGTCGAAACGCTAAACCGCTGTTGCATACTCTTCGAAGTTTTGTGTCTCAAGGAGGGGTTAGACTGCCCAATATCAGGATTGCTGAGGGTCATGGCAACTGATTTACTTGGTCATACTTGAATTTTCGTCTCTGAATATTAGACTTCTAAGTAGCAAGGGATTTCATGCAAATCTTTTGCAGTATTGTGAGGAACGCTTAGTCCTTGGGAAAGATATTGTTCAAATGAACAGAATTAGGACAAATAAAGGAAATATACCTTCAAAGATGCCTCAAGAAATAAACAACTAGCTTCATTGAATACAAACGTGAATTCAACTGAGTATTCTTCAGTTTCTTGAGTGAACCTTTTAGTTATTATAGCAGTCGTCAGCTACTTCGTTATCATGCAATGTGACTAATCGGTATTGGTGGTTGGTCGAAATTATATTGTGACGGCTACTGAACTAATGTAACTTACTAGCAACAGAACCCTTAGGTTCCAAGCTAAAGCCCATAAGCTAAGCAATAACACACTAGTTTACCTATTTCCGTACTGTTTCTCCCACCTGTTAACGTAGGCAAAATATACGTCACTGATGAACGTGTTCATGATACAAGTGTATGTAAAACTGCAATACCATTGTTTATGATTCTGCTAAAGTGTCTAAATTTCAATTTTGAGAAGAAATAAACTGCTAGAAATATTCATACCTAGTTGGAGTACAAAATTCGCGAAATTTCTTTGAACAACATGTGTAAATATGTGCAAAATTATCTCTAAAAATGACTGACTGTCGTCTTTGTAGAATAAATGTCACATAAATCTCAAAGTCATTCGTAGACATGCAAAACAAAACGTGTTTCACAAACATATGTCACCATATATTAAGTCTTTCAATGATAGTATCATTGTTTTAAGTGTTAGACCAAACGATACAGATTGATGAGATCTGAAAGCTTTGATTCCGATGTTCAAAGCCATAGTTTGTCGAGACAAGATCTACCACACTGTTTAGGCTTTAAGTTTATTCATTTATTTTTTAATCTACCACCAGATCACAGAAATTTGCTTGTCTTCAAGACTTTCCCATATTTAAACAAGAATATATAAATTCTGCCCTACCCGGTTGGCAGTGGTCACTTGATCAACAATGTTGCGTTATATCTGGATCGAACATAAGTCAACATTGCCCTGGAGTAAGTTTACAATATCAATGAGAATTTCTACATGTATAAGCCGGTGATAATTGTTTTTCCTTTCTTTTGTTTGCTATCTTCGAGAGTCGACAGTGAAAGTTCTATAATCAACCTAGATAGATCCAGTTTCAAGAAGTAACACGTTTTAAAGTTAAAGTTTTCTTGTCTCATATTGAATTTAACCCCTTATTGAAGAGAAACCTTGCTAGTGGGGATACGTGAAACTGACCTTATATCCAAGTAATACTTTAACTAGTTCATTTTCAATTTTTCGATAGATGGCACATTTCCGCTAGGTATTCTGTGTATTCTACACAAACATTAAGAAATTAAAATCGTTTCAATTCTACATTAAGTACCAATGAAATTTTAAAGCCTAAGGATGGAATGTCCAAGATTCGATATCAACTTTTGAGGAATACTGAACTACCATTATCTTCCCTTGGAGCTAAAAATTCTGACTGTCATGAATAAGATATTATTTATGGCACTTTTCTAGGTTAAGTAATTAGATTGAACACTTCAAATCCGGCCGCGGTCCGGATATTCATTTCACCTTCAGTCATCACCCTTCATCAGTTCAATCCGCTAAAACACAGCTATCTCAAGTGGTCAGACTGATGAATAGATACGTACTTTATCCGGATTGTTCTCAGTCATCAGGTCGACCCAAAGTAGCTGATTTTAAGGTTGGCTGCGGATTAGGTGCAAATGCATGAGAACAGTATGCATGACATATCATGCCCTCCTACCACCAAACAGGACATTGAAGATGCCCTTACCTACCTTTACCACCTAAGCCGAGTGAACTATCATTCACTAAGACCAGCCGTGCCCGAATGGTGGATTTCAACTATATACCAGATAGAGAGACAGACAAAATCGATGTAGAAACTCGGAAAGATGGGGATTAGCTCAAGTTGCTACAGTTCATAGTAATATACAGAGGACAGGTGGGTAGAAAAAGAATGATATCAAAGTAGACAAAGTCTAATGATGGAAAAAATATTTTGAAAATAACGGTTAGTCCAAGTATTCGAGCTTTAGAAGGCATCAATGAGTGGATAGATCCACGCCATTCTGGCCGATTTTCAATCATGTCACAAACAGTACTCAACCACTGATTCTTATCGTTCAGGTGACCCCAAACAGGAAGTCTACATTTCCTCACTCGGCCCAGGCAAACAGTCACGGACTGCACAGACTAGTGCTACACTTTGGTCTGTTCATCCTGAACCCTCTTCCAAACTAATCCAACTTCTTCTAGCATTGTACATTGAGATAGGCCGTGGCTCAGTAGGCGCAACACATATTGAAGCCATCTCGGGTTCAAAACCTCATCAAGTGACTTACTTGTCCCACCTGTTACCCTTCATCTGATCTTGACATTGCTCTTGTGGGGATTTCATCATACTCGAACAATGCTATGAAGACACATGTGGTCAGAGACCTGTAACCGGATCATATCTCTTACTTCCAACGGCCATCTCTCATAGCTGTATAACAGGACAGAACGGAACTGTATAGTGTCCCTCCTCCCACTACTATGAGACAGTGGCACTCAGGCATCTCTTCCCTTACTGTCTGTGTGGTAAGCGGACAAGTTTCAACAGCCGCCTGTGTATGTAGGAACTACTAAATACTGTCTGATCATTTCCGTGGCATTCTGAATATTGGCGTTTGCCTACAAATTATAGCCAGAAATATTTACTTACCTTTTGTGATCAAACGGTAAATTATTTGACCAGTTAGCATCTGGTACTGTTTTCAGGCTAAACAAATTCTGTTGGATGTGTGTTAAATTGTCACTGGAAGTCAGAAATAGATAGCTTTGGTTTCATACTACTTACGAAATTACTAAATAGTACGCACAAATATTCTATTTCAAAAAGATATCTTCGTGTTTCATGCGCCTTAAACTATTGTAAAGCACTTCACTGGACACAAAAGAGTTCAATTTCCGCTTTATGGATCTAATTAGTTCATTTTCATGTTGTTCACTGAAAGATATTTGTCAATAACTGTTTTTCATTTTAATTGGTCTTACAATGAAATATATTTAGACCAAATTTGAGGCATAAACATTCTGATCTTGTAAAACTTTGAAAATACCGAAAATACTAAGTGTTCGGTCTACTTCTAGCTTTGATATTCAATTTCAGTCGGACATCATAGTTTGAAAAATACTGCGAAATTTCCATTCTCACCTCGGTCTACTGATTTCTCTGTTAATTTGTTAGATATTTCGAACAGTGAAACAGTATTATTTACTGGGTAGAACTAAAAGTAAATTGTTGTAAACATTCATGTCAAGGATAACTCCACATCCTTCATATCCTGTTTGTATACTTCTCTTTCTTCTCTCTCATTTATTGTACAGTTAGCAGAATGTTCTAAATATATGGAATATGTTTTAGTGTTATTGCTTGTATTCTACGTCGTTGATGATTAGACTGAATTGATTGATCTCTCTTGGCATATGGGCTCCTGTGCGAATGCCTCGATATTGCCTGTGCTTTTAATTATATAATAGTGATGGCTGTCATGGTTCGGTGGTCTAGTGAATAATGCTGTGGCGTTTGAAGCGATCGGTCCTGAGTTCGGATCACGGTGGGAACAACATCACTCATTGGGAGGCAGGTACATCCAACTGATGAGTCCCGAATAGGACGAAATGCGCATGTGTTTGACGCTGGTTTGATAAACAAAGTTTGAGTCGTCAATTTCTGCTTCCATCCCAATAAGTTAACTTTGAGGACTGTCATTCTGTCTTGTCCTATGGTGTGGTTGTATATGATCGCTGGCATCGCATTGATTGAGCTTTCCCTTAGATTTCTTATCCTATGAAGGTCTACCATTCTAGATTTGGACAAGGTTATGTTCTCTGTTATTCTAATTGACCCCGTTCGACTACTTTGATCTATGTTCTTGACCTTATATTTGCTGCATGGAATTTGATAAACTGAATCATTTTGATGAATGAATGTTTTTTTGATCCATTAGTCTACAAACCTTGCTTCGTAGTGTTTGTAGGTTCAAACGCCACCCTAATCCCAGCTTTATTTAAGAATCCGCGGTAAACTGTTCAAAGTACCTTCCTGGTATGGTAATATTGTGGAGGTTTCGAATTCTTGTTTCTTAGTGTTGCCATTATTGGCGTAAATATTATCTGTCACCTTTTTCCTACAATTCCTTGTTTATTTCTGGATCAATTTAAGAGGATAATCATTTATTACCAAGGTTTCTTCTCCAGATCTTATTCCCTACCAGATTTTTTGTTTTACTTCTAAAATATTTCACTCTGTTATGTAAACATTCTACTAAACCTGTTATAAATGGCATAGGATGAGATGACGTGAAGTTTATGTATCGTTTTATATGCGTAGATTTTCTTTGAACATTAGTACCTGAGTATCTGTCTCGTCTCCTTTTTGTTCTACAATACACCATACCTAGTTTTCCTTCCTCACTCTCCAATTCATAAATAAATTTAATTGCATCTACAAGTGAATTATTGTCTCAGAAATTTATCAATATGCACTTACTTCAATACTGTACTGTGTCGTCTACCTATCTCCACCATATTTTAGGAGTATAGATAAGAGTCCTATGGGCTGTTTATTCCCAACTTTTCATTAGTTTGTCTGACAACCGCTGGTGATTTGAATGATGGCCAGTGGGTAGCAGGGGAACCCAGGAGGCTTGTTTCCTTCTATTTATGTCTCAGCAGCTGAATGTAATTGCTTCCCAGTGAGTGATGTTCCCATTAAGACTGGAACCCGGAACCGATGGCTCTAAACTTCAGGATGTTACCCACTAAGCCACTGAGTCATGGTAGCTACTTTTTGCGCGACGGGTATAGTTTACGTGATTTTGGTTGTATAACCCCGCAGGTACATCCAGCTAACAAGTCGTAAATAGGATGAAACATGCGTGCTGGATTCAACTGCTAGCCATCATGCATCATCAGTATCAGGGCTGAAAACACAGGTAATATTGAGGCATCTGCGCAGCAGCCCATATGTCGAAAGAGATCTATCAATTTGGTCCAATTAGTGACGGGATAATGCAAGGAAAACAATATATGAGGGTGATTCCACAAAAATTCTTATACTCATGAAAAGAATAAAAGACAACAAATAGAAGTGTAGAGATAGAATGTAAAAGACTTGGAGTTAACATTGGAATGAACACGAACAATAAATTCTGCTCGAAACTATACTGCTTCATTTCCTGAAATATTTCGAACAAGTTAAAACGTAATTAAAAATGGTGGAGAATATTTATAGCTCAGGTGGATGATCTTGGTTGCATTGTGTTCTCTGAGCTGGGTTGTTCAGTCTTGGAGCTTTCATCGTCTTTCTAGACGACATCAGCAGCACTAACTTCAGTATGAAGTGAGCTGTCAGTATCTCTCCGTGAGTGATTTAGTGGCTTGCCCTGACCAACTGGTTTTTGTTTGGTTGTTCCCTTTGATTGTTGTGTCACTGACTGTATAGATTTTCCTGTTGACTGTTCCTCTGCTTCATCTCTGGCTTTTCTGCCGTTTATCATTTTTCTTATTGGTTGATAGATTGGGTCTATGTCTATACATCCACTGATTGCTGACTGATCTGAATGCCAGGCTTCCAGAAATTCTCTGATATTCTTTGTGCTTACTCTGTTCAAAATTTCTACTTTGTCGAAATTGAATTCATGTCCATAGTTGTCATCCACGCGCACTGAAATGAGTGATGAAATGTCGTGACGTTAAATAAGCGATTAGTGTTCATTGAATTATATACTACCATCATACCCTATTGCAACGCTTACATTTTCGATGGCCTGTTTAATACAATGTAAGAATGGAAATTTCGAAATACCATAGTCCACGTACTATTTGGAAGTCTTACTTCTTTTCGAACTTAGTCCATTGGATAATTTAGTCCCATCTTATAAAACTGGTTATTTTCTCCATGCTTTTATGGAAGTAGGATGACATCTGTGGCATGATTTTAAAT